GTTACAACTTCTCCTCCTCCAAAGGTGAGCATCACCACTCTTTATTCACACGACGTTTTCCAAATTCCACTCTGATTTTTCTGTTTGTTCGTTCTTGTCCTTGAAACTATGGCAGGAAGTTGTTTCAGACGACAAATGGAAGGAGGAGCCGGTGGACAACGCCCGCCGAGCAAAATGGTGGTACTCCACCTTTCACACAGTCACCGCCATGATCGGTGCCGGTGTACTCAGCCTGCCGTATGCCATGGCCTTCTTAGGATGGTACAAAACACCCCAACTCATGATAATAATACATATACGAGTTGTACTTGTATTAATATACTAATAAGCCCTACTTTTTTCTACCTTTAATTTTCAGGGGTCCAGGGACAATGGTGCTGGTAATATCATGGTGCATGACCTTGAACACAATGTGGCAGATGATTCAGCTCCATGAATGTGTTCCGGGAACTAGGTTTGACCGATACATCGACCTTGGCCGACACGCCTTCGGACCAAAGTTCGGGCCATGGATTGTGCTTCCGCAACAAATGATTGTGCAGGTTGGTTGTGACATAGTGTACATGGTCACCGGAGGAAAGTGTCTAAAGAAATTTGTGGAGATGGCATGTGCCAATTGCACACCAGTCAAGCAATCGTACTGGATTGTCATCTTTGGTTCCCTTCATTTCTTTCTTTCCCAGCTCCCCAATTTCAACTCTGTTGCTGGTGTTTCTCTAGCAGCAGCTATCATGTCACTAAGGTAGTAATTTTAATTTTCACTTTCCATGAGAAGGAAAATCTGATTTAGAAGACTTGCTTTAGGCCAAACAAAACCTGTTAAAAAAAAAACAGAAAAAAAAGAAGAGGGAGTGTGCAGAAATTAATTCCTTTTTACGTACTTTACACAAACTCAAGTTAAAGGAGAAAATTTTCATTATGACGGGAACACAAGTGGTACACCACATGTTATTATATAAGTGGCAGAAAGTTTAATTTTTTAACACATATATTCCACTATTCGTATAAGTGACAACTACTTATGAACTTTTAAATTAAAAGTAAAACTAGAAAGTTACTAAACAAATAATACACTAGTACGTTGCACAATATTTATGTTATTGTTTTAGTGCCTTCTAATTTTATTTGTGAATATTTTCCTTTTAAAATTCGAGAAAAATTTGGATAGAGATGCATGCTCTAGTTCTACCAATAGTAGGACAACCCTACGGAAGATTTACTCGTAAACCTAACAAGAGAACTTTAGAAGGCAAATAATATATAATTTTTCTTAATAACTAGAATTTGTTGTTAATTTGCAGTTATTCAACTATAGCGTGGGCAGGTTGCTTAAGCAAAGGTCAGGTTGAAAACGTGAGCTATGCATACAAGAAAACAAGCCCTGCAGATTACATGTTTAGGGTTTTCAATGCATTAGGTCAAATCTCGTTTGCATTTGCTGGGCATGCAGTGGTGCTTGAAATCCAAGCCACAATTCCATCGACGCCTGAGAAGCCGTCGAGAATTCCCATGTGGAAAGGTGCTCTAGGAGCCTACTTTATCAACGCAATTTGCTATTTCCCGGTGGCCCTCATCGGGTACTGGGCTTTGGTCAAGATGTCGATGATAACGTGCTCATAGATCTTAAAAAACCTACATGGCTCATTGCTGCTGCTAACCTAATGGTTGTCGTCCATGTCATTGGCAGCTACCAGGTATAAATCTGCACTCAGTTACAAAAGCAGACAACTAAAAATGCTTTTGATTACGTTTGACATAAAAACTTAAAAGCATTTTTGAGTGTTTTTCTAGAAAGCACTTCCAAATATATTTTATAAAAGTTTTGGAAACACTTGGAATTATCTAATTTTTTTTTTAAATTTATAACAAAAGCACTTCTAATATAAATGATAATGATTAGAAGTGTTTTCTATCGTAAAAACACACACTTTAAACATTATTTTGAAAAGAAATAATTGGAACTGATCCGACCATTAGTGACTCCGACTTTAACAGTTGATAGGAGATGGCTTTTATCTATGCTTTGATTCTTTGAGTGTTTCTCATTAATATTAGAACTACATTAAATTAAGGATGTGACTGAAAAGTGTGCAGGTTTATGCTATGCCTGTTTTTGACATGCTTGAGAGGATGATGGTGAAAAAGATGAACTTCCCACCTGGAATTGCACTTAGACTAATCACGAGATCAGCTTATGTTGGTGAGATTCCCATTTCCCATACGTCTCCGTATCTCTGTCATTTCTGCTTGATTAAACCCTAATTAAGTTCCTAATCACTATATTGTTGCAGCATTTACATTATTTGTTGGAGTCACCTTCCCTTTCTTTGGAGACCTTCTTGGTTTCTTTGGTGGATTTGGTTTTGCCCCCACTTCATACTTTGTAAGCCTATCTCACTCTATTTGATTTCTTAATTTGTTTCTTGCACAAATTACAGAACTACATCATCAGAAAGAAATTAACTAAGTGAGCATTTTTTCAACAGCTTCCTTGTATAATGTGGCTGAGAATTAAGAAACCAAAGAGATACAGCATTCAATGGCTCGTCAACTGGGTAAGCCAAAGATATCTAATGTTCCTTGTTGTCGATATCGCAAATTGATACATCATGCTACAAAAAAGTTTATTTATGAGGATTGTGTGTGTTTACAGGTTTGCATATTCATCGGAGTGTTCATCATGTTGGCTTCCACAGTTGGAGGTTTTCGTAATATCATTGCTGATGCATCAACATATCGTTTTTACACGTAATTAACGATATATAAGCGGATTATTATGCCACTAATCAGACGAAAATTATGTATTATCCAAGTTGCGGAGTAACTAGTAAGGACTAGTGTTCTGTCATCCTCTTCCTTCAAGAATTAATCAAGCATGCTGTCTTTTAATTAGAGTGGATCATATTTAACGCCAAGCTACGTACCAAGCAACTCGTGTATCATTTTCATTTGTTTCTACTTTTTAATGCTAGGTTCTGGTTGTGCATTTGCTTTACCATAAGCAATTTCAAGTCAAAATACTCTTTTGGAGTAGTGTTATCTAATATATTGTCATGAAAAATTCATATTCATATACCGCATAAATGGCGGGAAATGAATAAGTGGTTCTTTGTCCTCAGAGAAATTTCACAAAACATAATTCGAGCAACTTTAAAGTAGAAGAAAATAAAAAAAAATGCTGGCAACAATTAACCTTCGATGATATCTATAAACTTGGGCATAGCTGCATTCGCTAGACTAGTTATGCTCTATTATGCACTTGAGTTCGAATCCTCCTCCCCGCAGTTGGGATTAGTTTAAAGCAAAACATCACTGTCCTACGTTTTATTCCAGGGCAGTTTCTTCTTGATGATCAGGGCTCTCAACCTTGACACCAAGGTCTTCATAACCATGAATATACATCAGCTTGTCAAGATCAAACTTGGGTGCTTTCAACATCTTGACTTTATGGATAAACACATTTTGTAAAGGAAAGATGCTCAGCATCTCCTTCTCAATATCTCTACCTATACTTTCAGCCATCAACCTTTTGACAAAGTCATTCAGATCACTTGTTGTCGCCCACGCGACCATGATCTCCCTCATCTTGCAGCGGATCCGCCTAATCTGGCTGGTGCGTAGCAGGTCTTCTTAACCTATTTAGTAAATTAGAAGAAAGAAAGAAAAAAAGATCCCGAACAATTATAAGTTTCATACTGAAACACATTAATCGTGCTAAAAGTTGCATGCAGATTAAGTAGGGTAATTTAGTTTTTTCTTCTAAAATATTGAACTTGAAGTGTTTTCTGATGTGTAATGTTATCAAGCGCTTACCGACCCAATTTTGACGTCTCTTAGAGAAGCCAATGCAGAACATCCTTAAAGTATAATTGTCTGTCGTCTTCACATCTACGTGAGCTTCCATCAAAGTCTGCCATTTCCTTACCAAGGACCTCAGCTTGTCCATAGTGAAATTCATCCCCCAAAAGTTTATGAGACCTCCGAAAGTCGATGTTTGAGTGCTCCGGAAGCACTCTTGGTGCCCTGAGTACGGGAGACCAGAGTTTTACCCACGTTGTTGTTATAGAACCACAGACGAGGGGCATTGATGTCGTACCAATCTTTCTTCATATTTCGTAAACGGATCGGCAGCTTTCTTCTTTCCTGCTTTCTTTAACTTGGAAATCCTCTTTTTTTTTTTTTTCCTGACGGTCATGGTTAAATAACTGGAATTTGAATAACTAATCGAGAAGAGTTCAAAGGGGGAGACCTACAGACACAGATGAAGTGAGAGACGAAAGTGGCCGTGAGAGCAAAACTTAAAAAAGGACAGTTACGTTTTTTTGCTCTCTGCATTTTCACCTAGTGTCAAAATTGCGAAAAATCTAATATGTTCCGTTATAACTTATACATGAAACTAATAATAAATTGAGGGTTGAATGTACGATCAAAAATTTAATAGTCAAGAGTTACAATAAATTTTGGGGTGTGCTATCCACGTACTTCTTTTTACTTCTCACACACTCTTTATTAATGTCTACTCTTTGATCTTTTTCAATTCACCCGATCTAACGGCCGAAACTTAGAAGAATGTGTGAGAAGTAAAAAATGATGTGTGGATATCACACCCCTAAAGTTTAGTGCTTGATAAAATAAGTCATTGTGAAGTCTTTTGTCAACTTATAGGATTTCATAAAATAAATAAAATCTTAACAAGTCGACAGAATGCTCACATTAACTTATTTTTATAAGTATAAAGTATAAACTGACTGAAAATAAAAATTCAAGACCCAAATTACATTAACTATAAATTGCGTTAATGAAACTGAACTAGTACATTGGAGATGCCTAACCCACCGCTCATTTCGGATTTTCATTTTAAATTGGATTTATTTATGTATTTATTCATTTATTTTGGTGAAGAAATTGGATTTATAATTTGACAAAAATTATTTTCAGTGTTCGTACTTGGTAGGGTCAAGACGACGCCGTCTTATGGATTGCGAAAACCAGAAGTCCCACCAGACAGAGCACAGGAGTCCACCAGTTGTTCGATCTTTTTCTTGTTATTTCGGTTGTTTAAACCAAAACAGAAAATTCCTGTAACTAAATAAATAAAATCGCACGACGCATTGCAGCAGAAGCAGCAGCACAAGAAAAAAGAAAGATCGATTCATGGAGACTGCGATTTGCGGGAGAATCCCTCTCTCCCCCAACCACGTCTTCAACCCCAAACCAGGTTCTCTGCATTTTTCTCATTTCTTTCCCTCTTTTCGGATTTTGGGTTTCCCTCAAAATCTTTGATTTCTTCAGCAGCTGCAGGGTTACGAGTAGATTTTCTTAGCTCCTTAAATCAGATGACATGCGAGAGAGATTGAGGAATGACATGCGAGAGAGATTGAGGAATGGAGCAGAAAATAAAAAAGAAGAGACGGAGCAGAAAATAAAAAAGAAGAAGACGGAGCAAAAAATATAAAAACTGAGAAAATTGGGGTTGTGTGGGAGACGTCTAGAGAGATGTTTTTGGTTTTTGGAAAGTCTAGTTCAGTAGTGGGAGAAACTACTCGATGCCGTTTTTTTGTTATTTCATATAATCACAGCTGTTTTACATAAAAATTTACCAAACATTATAATACCGTTTTTTTTTTCCATAAACACTTTTACAAAAAAATTTACCAAACACTCTATAGTTTTATTTCACAGCTGTTTATTCTCACAGCACAACAGAATCAGTTTTTTTTCAAAACACATCATTCTCAAACCAGCACTAAGTTAAATAATTTAACGGCTTTTACTCAGATATGTAACTTAAATTTGTACTTTTAATGTGAACTAAAGAAACCCTCCCTTCAATATTGAAAAAAAAAAAAATTTACTAAACGGAATAGCTAATTGGAAAGCATGTCTGTCATTTTATTAAGTGGCATGCCTCTACCACTAGCTAAGTGGGCCTTACAAATATTTGTGCCTCCGATGTCCCAATAACTATTCCAAAATGGAATATTGTTCAAGTGAACCAGCTTCTCATATGTAACTCAGAGGCCAAGCCTACTTGGAGTTGCTTTTGAATACAGATTAAAAGTGAACAAATGGTATCAATAAAATAAACAGACATTTACAAATTACGAGTTTGATGAGATGTGTACATATTTTCAGTGAGCTACAGTGTCTGTATATCTTCTGCAGAAAACATATTACGGAAGATTTGGAGGTAGCGGGATTTCTAGCGGCACACCAGGAGTAGGCTGCAGTACCTGTGCATCTGGTAATTCCTTGGACAAAAGTTCCTGCATTTAATAACCACAACTTCAATTGTGATAATATTGCACAAAGAAATCTTAATACTTCACCGTAGAAAAAACCGTGAGAAGAAGAAAACAACCTTGAATGATTCGATTGTTCCTTCAGCCGAAACTAAACTAGCAAGAAGCCCCTTGGCATCCAAGTCCCCATTTGTCATCGGGACAATGAACCTACAAAATGTAAAACAAAGACGTTGATATGTGTCTAGTAAAACCATCTTTATGTATATGTTAGTATTAAGGTATAAAGAATCTGTACTTGGCATTCAGCAGCTTTGCAAGTCGAACTGCATCTTCTTGTCCAGAGACCAAGGTAAATTTAGGCAGAAGCTGCTTTATGACCGGTGTGATAATAATGTTAGCTCTTTCCTTCTCGAGTGAACTTGTATTGTATACACAATGGGGTTCATAGTAAAGTGTAGATTTCCCTTCTGGATAAATGACAAGATATCTGGTCCACATATTATAACATCTCGTTAATATCCATTTAACCAAAGACTAAAGAACATATTACAAGGAACTGTTTCATAAAGAGGAAAATCTACAAGCCAAGCCATCCAATACAGTCAACAATTTAAGTTCAGTCATTAAGAAGTTTGTTTACACTTGTAATTGTAATTAGTAAAGATGGTTAGGGACTTCATTGTAATTAGCAAAAGCTTTATATGCTCTCTCTGTTGTAATTATTAATTCAATCAATCAAGAAGAATTTTCCATTAACTTCATTCCTTTTTATTTCATTCCTTGCCAATGGAATTCACTAGTGTTACAATCGCAATAAGAAAAATGACACCTTACCCATTTTCGGGGCGCTGCCAAGGAGGACCTAGAACTGGCCCTGCAGTGGCCTGAACTTTGACTGTAGAACCATTTCCTGCTTCAATAATGGAGCTCTGGCCAGGTTCTAGATATGTGACCTAAACAAAATTAGTGTAAATCTCAAATAGAAACACGGAATGCGACTTCATCTACGGCTTTGGGAATATCTTGCATGCCAGCATTGCAATTTTCAGGAACAATTGAGCCAAGTTGAAGTAATGACAGTAAGGTTCAGTAACTTCAGTTGTTGCGAAAGGTAAAATTTAGGAATAGAATTTGTGTAGTAATGTCCACCATCTTAGTAGCACATGTATTAACCAAAAATTAAGAGGGAACAGATGCACAATAAACCCAACACAGCAGCCGGATTATATACCCCAATTATAAAAACTACACTAGTTTTTAAGAAACAAGGCATTGCTTATTTAAGTGCATCGTTGTTTCTTTGGTGGTGACTGTAGAGATTGTTCATGCCTAACCTGGATAAACAGCGTATATTAAAAAATTTAAAATAAAAACAAAATTAACATTCAAGAAGCTGCAGCCTTAAACAAAACATTAGTTTCAAACTCACATTGCTGAAAAGGGGATCCAACAAGGCCTTAGCATTTGGTGTAGCTATTACTCTAAGATTCGGGTACTTTTCGGAGAGGGGCTTTAATGTCTTCAAATGGCAGTGATCATCAAGACTTTGTGTAATAAGCAAGCAATCAACTTCTGGAATATCACTTAACTGCACTAAAGTTGCAAACCCAATCAAAACAGGCCTATCAACTTCACAACATTCTACAAAATAATGGCAACATATGCGTAATTAAAAAGGAAAATCGAAGGCAAATTTGCTTCAAAAAATTGATTTCGAAGCTAAAGGAGTACCTGGAAATTCTTCAAAAACTTCTTCGCAGCATCATAAAGCCAGGGGATTCCAAAATCCAAATTACCCACCAAGATTGGATCCACCAGTATTTTCACCCCACCCACATCCCACAACCAACTATTCCCCTAAAAGTAAACATTTATTCAAGTAAAAAAAAATCCCCAAAAGTAATCAAATTTAAGAAGTACCAATAAGAAAATTGAAAACCCACCTCCAAATAAGTGAGCTTGAACCCATCGGTGCCAGAGAAACTTGATTGAATTGCGTTCTCCTCAGAAACCACAGCAGAAACAACCCTACCAGTCCTGCAAATATGTAAATTAATTGACAATTCATTTCTCAAATTCACCTAGAAACCCTATATAGAGATAGAGGAGAAAGAGAACCTGGAATTCGAAAGCTTCAACTGTTTGGAGCTTGCGCCAATGGGGGTGAGAGGAGAGAGAAAGGGATAGGGACCGAAAGGGGATAGGGTTGTTCTGGTTGTGCATGGTCTGCTGCGGCAGGAGCAGAGAAGAGAGCTGCCCTGAGCGGCGGCTGCCATGGTGTTCCCGCGAATTTGGAGAGCGATTGAAGTGCAAAGTTGATTACTTCATTATTAATTTAAATTAAATTCCTCAAATTCAAATGGATTTTATGCTGCCACTTGCCACGGGTTCACCCACATGAACATGAAATTTGATTAATAATTACTTTTTTTTTTTCTAATTTCGGGAATAAATGCATATTTATTTTTTTGTATTATGATTCTAATTTTGGGTCTTTGCATTACCCAAAAGAAGGAAACCAAAATTACTTCTTTTTTAGATCAGTGGTAGTTGCATTGGCCGAAGCGAATATATTTTTTAATTTAAATATCCATATTATAATTTAGATTAGTTTAAAATAGAATATTAAACTTCAGTTTTGTTATCAAATTAAAATTCGGATCCTCTCATACTTTTGAGATTTTCTCATCATAGCTGAAAATTACCTTTTTTTCCTTGATACTTTCCCGATATAGTAGAAAATTATCCTTGCCATTCTTGAGATTTTTTTCGATATTATTCTTCAAAGCAAAATGCTTGATTTCTCCACTTATATTGATTCAAAATAGAAGGAAATAAAAGAAAGATCAAGCAAAGATGACACAACCAACCCAAATAAGTGTGTTGCACTCCATGATTATATCAAAATCTAAATTAACAATTTTCACTCATTCATTTGTTTTTGTTTAGAAATTAAAAAGAAATCAACAAAAAAAAAAGTGGTCAGAAATTCAAAATCTTAAAGGTAGGGTGCAAATTGGTCAATACAAAATAGTTCAAGGGTTACCCTATTAGATCAACTCCAATGGTTGGGTTAAAAGCCAACATTTTTAGCTCAGAAACAACTTTTCTGCTCAAACCCTTCTGACCTAAAATTTTAGCTCATAATTATTAAATAATGAACTTAGGCTATTTTTTTCTTCAGTTAAATTTTAAAAAATAAATAAATATATAGACTATCGTAAATTAATTTTATGAACATTTTAATATAAAAATATTTAAATTCCGATAAATATTAAAAAATCACTAAATTTTCCATAAAGCAAGCCTTCAACTTTCACCAATCTTTCAACCCTAGGCTAACTTTCAATTCACCAACCGTTCAACACCAAATTTTCAATTCACCAACTGTTCAACACCAAATTTTCAACTTTCACCAACCGTTCAACTTTCATCAATCATCCTCTATATAAACATACGTCCAATATTAGTTGATCATACAACCTTTCAACCTTCAATCATCCTATATATTCACCAATCTTTCAATTTTCAATGAATTTTTGTTCCTAAAAATCCTCTATATTCACCAATCTTTCAACTTTCAATGGGTGATAGAATAAGGGGTAGCATGGCAATGCATATGGCACAAAACCAAGCAAGGATTGAGATTGAGGATGCAGAATTGTTCGACGCTGAAGCTGAACTTTCATGACCACTACTTTGCAAGTATGATAGATGTCGCAAGCTGACAATGTCTATCACTTCATCAGAAGCTCACATCTGCTTTTTGCATGCTAGCTAATGGGTGCTCTACAGACTCAACTGATGAGAAGGTGAACATTGATGATGTTGGTTAAGCATTTATGTAATAATTTTAAGTGTACTATGTTGTTATTTTCTAATAATAAATTTAAGTGTCTTATTGTGCAAAGTATTTTGTTTAGTACGTTGGATAAATTATTGAATGGAGATTGAATTATTGAAAGCATTTATT